AAAATTAATTTTTTAAACAATTGATGGTTGGCCATTGTTCAACCATAGTCTAATCCAGTTAGACTACTATACGTGAGAATATTATGCATATGAGTGTATCTGAACTAAAATTGATGTTTTTAACGAGGGATGGAATGAGTGAAGAGCAAGTGCTTGAGCATTTTGTTAAGCTTCCGGAAGAAATCTGAAATCACTAAGGGGATATTTGTGATAAGGCAAGATGGAAATAGAAAATCTCCAAAAACCATTTATGCGCACTATTTTCATAATGAACTTCACAAAAGTTAGGCGCATTCTGAATGGTCTAGGTTCCTTCGAGTCATGATGTACACAATAATTCCTGAGAACGATGAGATGAGGGCATGAATTCTATCTAGCTGTTTCACATATTATCATCTTGCATTTGTGGTCATTAATTGAGTGCAAAACAAGTTCAAAAGAGTTAGCTGAATTACGAGATTCTTCTTATGAAAAAAAATTTCATTCTCGATAGAATGTCGTATCTATGAATAGATGAGAGTAATCTATTATGTGCACATATTGATTTAAATTCGGCCCATTAGCATATTGAATAAAATGATAAAAAAAATTCCAATAGCCGTTACGGCATAATTATAAGATGCATTTCCTCACGCCTCTAATATAAAAACATTGCGCTAATGTTTATTTTGTCAACTTGAATGATTCATTAGTAGAATTCATTCGAAAGAGGTAACACTCAGCTATCTGCTGGACGACAAATAGACTGGTGAAGATGAACAATACTTTTGTATTATTTTAAAAACTCATTGATAAATAAGTAGTATCAATTGTCATCAGTCTATTGATTTTTCCAGCATATAGCAGAATGTCTTCTCTTTCAAATAGATGCTAATCATGAATCATTCAAGTCGATAGTATCAGCATTGATTGAATATTTTCATATTTGAGGATGAGTGCGAGTATTATAATTATACAATACCTCACATTGAAAAACTTGTTCGGTTTAGTTATTACATCGATTAAACAAACTTAAATCAATATGTGCACATGATAGACTCTTATCATGTTTTCATAGATATGATGTTAAATCAGGAAGGAAACCTTGTCAAGTTGAAGAAATCATTGTTATTCTGAAAGATTAAGGAAGTATCAGAAATTTGCTAAAATCTTCTCGACTTTGGCACACTAGTTCATCTTACTTATATATATATTGGACAGTTACAATTCACAATGATAATAGCCAAACTTTCACTTTTTCGCATCCATTTTGACAAGAAAAATAAACTATCTTCCAAACACTTTTCGTTGTCCCCAAGTCGAGAACAGCGAGACAAAATGATGCTTTCCACTTCTTTTAATTTGTTCGAGTTAACGCACACCGAGTGAAGATGAAAAAAAAGTCAATGAAAATTTAGGTGAATAAAGTGTATACAATGAAAATACGTCTGATCACTGTTTATTTTAATAACGTATGAGAATCTTCAAAAAGTTGACGAACGAAGTACAAAATTTTCTGGTGACTATTTACAACTACAGGAGATATAAATATTAAATATGAATGACGTTATTAGTTAAAAGGAAGAGGACAGCAAAAAACGAATGTATATGTAATATGGGAGAGAAAGAAAAAAAAGCAAAAAAGCTGAGAAGAGAAACAAAGTAAAAAGTAAACGAAGAGACACGAGCATAAAATAAGTCTTTGCAAAAGAAGAAAAAGTAAAAAAAAAAGGTATATGAAGCAATGATGCGTGCATCATAGAACGTGTACAATCACTATCGTTGTGAAAGTGAGTATTTATGGTAAAACGATTCTTAATTAAACTACTCAATCAACTCCAAGCATCAATAACTACTTCCTATAGGAAAAAAAAATACGAAATAAGTCGTTTCGTTTTATAGTCATTTTCCTAATTAGGCATCATTGCATAAAGTAAGAGTAATTACATTGAAGCCATGACTATTTTCAGCAGAACTAATCAATTAGCTTCACCAATTAGATTGATAATTTTACAGTAGATATTTAAATTAAAATTAGAAACAAATTACAATTTTCAGTTCAGACAGCTTAACCATTCAAGAAATATTGATATCACAAGTGTATTTACTGTGCTAGATTTTAAGGATTTTTTTTTTCTGTAGTATTCTAGAGGAAAATCTCATCTTTAAAACAGTCATGAGAACTACGGAAGCGATTTTTTTTATCACAGATACACACCATTAATCATGAGTTTTTTGTTAATGCTAATGAAGTTATGTTATCTTTTCATACTTTTGGTTTGAAGTCACATGCTACTCTCAGAGAACAAGAAATCGAAGAGAAAGCCCATTGATCGAATTAGTGTGATAAAATATGTTCAAAGAGACTTTTGTACTATTCTACATTCTATTTTAAAATTTTTTTCAAATGAAAGTCAATGACAAGAAACTTCTCAATTTAGAACTTTTAGCTCGTATAGATATATCAATATAGAATAACAAAAGATTCATTTTTTCGTATGTTTTAAGAATGTCCAGTTTGACTAATTCTTCATCTATCTATATATCCGTAACTGGTCTATCGAATAGTTTAACGTTTTCACTATAAACTTTTTTATTTTGGTATTTATATGTTGTGAAATTCCGATTCGAAAATTGAAAATCAAACCAGTTGATGGTCCCATCAGGAACACAACAATATTATTATGATATGAGTCAAAAACATGGCAAAATTTGAGTAAAGCAAATTTGACAAACATAAGTATTTTAATCGTCGACAAAGTTCATTAGGAGTTACATGAAACACACGATAGTCATCCGAAAGCGATTTGTCAATGTGGAATATTCTCTCAAAGAAGTTTTGAGAAAAAAAATGGATAGGCCAAACATATGTCAAGAGGATATGGCAAATGAATCTTTAGTCATTTTTCATAGATGCATGTTAGTAGGCTTAAATTTTAAGTAAAGATGTTTCTTGCCATGACTTTTATCTGAGATTCGACTATAAACATAGGAGAAAAAATTTCATACTATAGTAGCGAGATTGAAATGAAAATATCAGTATTGTCGATTTTATTTAAAGCAGTTTTGTTACATAAAATCAATCTTCCAAGTGTTCAGAAGTATTATTCGATGCATTATGATGTCCCTTTCAAATAAGATTGCTTTGAAACTATTTTATTATATTGTTTCGACCAACTCGCCATATCTCCGAATTCTTCTTCTCTGAACATGGTACATAGCATTGAGCCATAGAATATGAGATGATGAAATAGCTTCAATAGCATCAAATGATAATTCATGATCAATAACATTATGATAAAACAATCGCTTGTATAGCTTTAGGAGTGTGGACGAAAAGAAAATTGATACAATGAAGCTAGTAGAAATTACGAGCTTTTGGTATGCCACGCATAGAATAGTTTGCTATAGTTTACTTGAGATATTTTCTAAATTGACTATATTTATACTTATTATATCTACGAATCAAAACAGGCGATTTATGACTCTGAAATGTAACACTGATGTTTTTTTACTTCTACATTTTTGTTTCTTATCTTAAGTGAATTATACACATTCAAAGAGACTGTTAATTAGGACCAATAGCCAGTACGATACCTGTAATATGTATAACTGCTTATGTACTTTTTTCGCTCTACTCATACTTATTGTAATGTCTCAAATATAAACATTGGATTTAAGAATCATGAATGGTGAATTAGATGCCATGAATGTAGATGATTTCGAAGGCATGTTATATAATACAGGAAAGTATTAAATTTTGGTTTATCTGTAATAGTCGTAATTTATCCTTCTTTTTTGGTCGAAATTTCATCATTTATGAATATTCAAATCTCTAATCATGACTCACAATCACTCTGATTTTCATTTTCTTTTGCAATGTGTAGAATTTCGTAGCAAACGTTTGTCTAGGATATTACATCAAAAATGACAAATTTTGTTGCTCACATATTGTTGCATAAATGATGACTCCATCAAATTCAATCAAGATCGAGTCAGTCGTAGTAATAACTATAGTTGTTCTAGTATATTATCGTTCGAATACTATACACTCAACGTAATCATTGCGTTTCAGTAAACTATTAGTGATGTTTGTATCGCATAACTTATTGTGTCCTACGAAAGTCTATGGAAAAAACTATCAAATACATAGTTTCTCCAATGTAGATTCGTATACTTTTTCTATCAGTTAATAGACCTCAATGCTTGTTGATATATCGATATGGATAAATCTAGGTATTGGACAATGCATATTAACAGATATTATTGAATATTTACATAGCCGTTTCACGAATGCTTCGGCATTTTCACCAAACTGTCCATTCGAATTTTTTTCAAATCTTTTGTGCTGTTGTAAATCAGCTAAACTTGACAGATTAAAATAATCTTTATAGGATAGAAACTAGACTAAAATAAAAAAAAACGTAGCATGCTTAGTAAATGAAACTTTCCAAAACAAGAGAATTAGTAATTATTGCTATTTTGCATTGAATTCATTCTATAAAAATGTAAGCGGTTCTACTAGTTTACTGTAAGACTGATTAGTACGCTCTAATTTGATAGAGAAATAAACTAGGGAGAGATTAAACAATCATCTTTTTTATATGATTCGATTAATAGAATAGATAGAAATATTAAGCAGTTGTATACAGTTCGACGACATGTAGGTGTGTTGCGCACGTTGATGAATCGAAAAGACAAAGTAAAGAAATCTACACTGACAAGTGCCACGTCTTTTTAGCATGATCGAAGTATATTCTGAAGATATTCAAATTCAATACTAGTACAATGATGTCTTTTGTTCGAACAGTGTTTATATCTAGACAGTTCTTATTAAAGATAACATCTCAAAATTTTGTATATAGACCTTTGCTATCAGTTCATATCGAATTCTTATCATAATAAGTAACATCACCGATCAATATTAAATAATTTTTCTGAAAAACTTGTTTCACAGGAGCAAACAATAAATGGGGACTAACATATCCTCACTAGTTTCTGGAAGAAATTTGCCATTATGGATGTGGAAAGCAGGTGATACCCCATGGGAAGAGAATACTGATTGGAAGCCGTATCTAGATATTGAAAATCACATTCTGGAACAAGGATTTCAGGAAAACAAAAGTACAGTTGAATTAGACGGTTATTATTGCGACTTGGAAAAATATATTCAGATGAACAAAAAAGATCCCAACAAGCAACGGCCTATAAAAAGAATTTCATCGGTGGATATCAATAAGAGATTTAGATCTAAACAACGATATATATTACAAAAACCAGAACTTAAACCTGAATTAGCGGCTTTAGGATGGACTTCTGCTTGGTCTAGATTTCTTTTAGCTGCAGGTGTGTTCTCAGTAATCAAAAATGAAGAGTTAACAGAACGAGTGGAGAAAGCAGCCGATGGAATATTGGAGGAAGGTATTAAACATGATAAACAAATCGAGGGTAAATGGATTGCAAATGAGTTAAGAAAGGTAAAAGATGAGGATCGAACAATAATTGGACTTTGCTGTGTAAAATTATTTACTATAGAGAGTTTTCTCTATCCGTTATTAAATGAAGTTTTGAGAGAAAGCGAAGTACAGAATACTGGCATGGAATGTGTACATGAATTTACCACTGAATTAGGTAAAAGTCAAGGGAGAACATTAGGACCTTTCTGTAGTTTATTGTGGTTTTACTTATATGAAAATCCATCACAACGATTAACTTATATTTATCGAACGGCGTCTTTGACTGAAAAGAATATCAATGATTATGAAAAACACAAAGGTGAGTGGATGGTTTGGATTGATTTTTCTATTGCAACTAAATCCAAAACAAATGCGCTTAACTCTCAAGAAAATACGATCTACGAAATAAAAGTTCGTGATGGTGGAGTACCTGGTGTCATTGATGTTTCAACCTTATCAGGTTATCCATCTGAAAACGAAGTGTTGATTATTGCTGGTATCCCTTACGAAATAAAAGCTATTAACTATGACGATCAACTAAAAAAATATTTCATACATATAGAATTATAAAACTCATGATTTTTACTTGATTTTTGAGAGAACGCTATTTATCGTTTATTGAACTTTTTTCATTTGATATATCTTGTAAAATATAAAGAAGCATCACTCTAATAATCACGAAAAAACTTCAATCTTTCATTTGTATATGATCACCAACTTTCTAATGTACATAGTGTAACAATCAGCAACTATTCATTCTTGTATCTGAGTCATCTTTAAATTTCGAAGCATGCTAGTATAAGTGATGGTTCGCTTGGCTAATATTTAAGCAGACGATTCTATTCTTTGATGATCGAGGTCTTGATAATAGCATTTAGATATGTTTAACTATTCTTCACTACTTCAGATGGTTGGACAAAGAGATTTTCGTTTAAAGAAAAAGTAAATGTACCAATCAACAGAAAAATTCATACTCTAACAGATTATGAAAATGTTTTCTTTCCACAGTTGATCTTCACCTCAAAAAATTTGATTTTAGTGAAAATAATAAAAATAAACAGCCTTTCATTTCGATCTAAATGTTGAGAAAAAGATTGTGAATGTAAATTCTTCGGGATTGACCTGTGGCATTCATATATGTCTTCTACTTCCATTAAACTAACATAAAATACTTCGATTGAACAAATCCTAATAGTCTATAATTGCCTTGCACGATCATTGATATGCACATTAATGATCTATTTAATTTCTGCAGTTCTAATAGAATCTTTTCATTTTTTCTATCCCAATCTATTTCTTTTGTTTGCATCGTTTCTATTCATTCATTATCTTTTTTCTAAAATGTTTTTCTAAATTTAACAGTCTCATTTGTATAATTCTGGAATTAATTGACAAAAAAGTCTTTTTTTCTTTTTATATACTCATGCCATGAGCAGATGATCTTATATACTATTATATATGCTTAACAATGTACAGATTCTGATATTTATTGTTACTGAACTGTTTAGTATAATATTATTGAAGTATTTATTATTTTTGGTAATTATAAAAATAAATCAAGAGTTTCACTTGTAAATCAAGAATATAGACATAATCGAAATTATTTTCTATAAGTGTTCTTTACACAAAAGATCAGCTGCTTTTTCTGTCAAAGCATAAGTCGTTAAACACGGACCTGTTTTCGATGCAAAACCAGCAGGAAAAACTGATGCATCTACAATTCTAAGATTTTTTATTCCATGAACTTTGAAATGATTGTCAACGACCGAATCCTCTGCATTGCGTCCCATACAACATGTCCCAATGTAATGGTAACCTGGATCTAATGTATCTTTAATATAGCTAGCTAAGTCCATGTTTTTCATTCCAGGTGAAATCTCAATAATAGGACCAACATTTTTCAATGCATCGGTTGACATGACTTTGCGTACATAATGGATGCTATCGATAAATGTTTGAAGATCTCTTTTGTCTTTTAGATAATCTAAAATTATTCTTGGTGGACTCAGTGGATTAGAATTGTGTAGTGAAATGAAACCAGTCGTAGATTTTGGGGAAGCGTTGAATATAACTACATAGAGGTTTCTTGATGTTTTATCCATTTTTAAAATGAAAAACAAATCAGGATTGATATTTGTAGTTGCAGATTGAGTATTGACTAAGCCTACAGGTATTGATTCGTTGATAGGAAGATTTTCTGCTTTATATTGAACAATTACTGCACCATTATCCATTAAATTTTTACCCACTTGTCTTAATTCATGTTTCACTGGAATTTGATGTTTTTGAAGAATTTCAGGATCGCCGATACCCGATAACATGAGTATATGAGGAGTATAGAATGTACCAGCAGATAAAATATATTCTTTTTTGGCAACACCATAAAAGAAGCCATCAAGGGACAGAAACAGAACATTTTCTATGTACTTAGTTGTTTCATTTAAAGTGAACTTTATTGCAGTAGCACTTGTCAGAACTTTCAGATTCGGATATTTGGCTATAGCAGGAGTCAAATAAGCATCACCACTCCAGCTTCTTAATCCATCGGTGAATGATGAAGGTTCAAATGATAAACCGTAGTCGAGAGTTTCTGCTAAATCTTCGCTAAATGTTTCTTTGAGCTCATAAGCAACATTTCTCCATACCTCTTTGAATATAGCATCATGAACTTGAGTTATTTTTATTGGACCATTATTGCCATGAACGTTGGAAGTTCGTGATGCATCAGCTGATGTAAACTTTTCAACCATTTTATAGTATTTAGACATATTTTCATGACTAAAGGATGAATCTTCAGTTGCATTAATAAAAGAGTTCCAATCATTTGCCATCATTCTTTCCATTCCACCACTGTTAACACTACTTCCTCCAAGTGTGTTCAATACCGTAGCATTTAAATGCCGATTATTAAGATTCGGTGAGGTATCTGTAGGCAAATAATGTTTGAAGAATAATTTACGTTGTAGACGAGACAATTCCGACTGTAGCTTGATCAAGGGATTTGATGTGTCATTTGCACCACTGGATATGAGAAGCGTTTCAAAACCCTGTTCAGCTAATCGAGTAGCTAAAACACACCCAGCAGTACCTCCACCAACAATCACAAAATCAGCCACAATGACTTGTGGTATAGAAGACAACATTATTCTGTTTCTTGAATTCTCTAAACAATCTGATACTACTCTGAAAATGAACAGATTCAAATTCATGTAAAAATCGAATTATTAATTAAACAAAGTATTAGATTTTTAATTTTTACCAGTTGATCTTCATTGACACTCGATTATAATGCAATAAAACCATTATTACAATCGAGTTTTAATTCGAACTTTGCATAGTACAATATATAGAAAAGTATTGAAATATATAAGATAGAAACTAGAAACCTATATCCCTTCTACTTTCACAAACTGTGACAGACAAATTCATTCATTATTTAAATTATATGCTAACTACTACTTAATCGAGCTATAAGCAAATCAACTAATCAAATCAATGAAATTACAGATCGTGCTTAACTGTTGATACTCACAATAATGATATATCATTAGAGTTACGTGAGTATGTATTAAGTAAGTCTACAAAACAAGTATCCTTTACTTTTGTAAAATAAGATCTAAGAGGGACATTTAAGTTTAGTAGATTTAAAAACTTGAAAGTATACCATATTCTCTTCCTCTTCTCTCTACTTTCTCTATCCGATAGATCAAGGCAGATATTTGCTATGTTTCAGCAAATGCGATAATAGATTACGCCACAGATTCTATGCCATTAGCATCTGATTATAACTAGGGCTGTACAGTTCACGCTCATGAGCGCTCATATGAGCGTTTTCTGACTTAAAGAACGTACCAATGTCTCTGATCACTTTTTTCAACTTTGTTCCTCGAAAATCGATATTCATGATTTTTGTGCCTGAGGTCTCCCTCAGGTATTGTGAAAAAAAAATTTTTTTTTTTCACGAGTCAAAATCAGATGTAACAGTGGATTGAGATATTCTTGCAATAATCCTAACAAATCTATGCAGTATATTCTTCATTATTGGAGTACTTATAGAATATTTATTCACTTAAATTTAGCCAGCAACATTTTTTTACCTAAAATCTCGAGTTCTCTACGGTTCTGAGTTTGTTACGCCAAAAAAAACATAATTTTTGGAAAAAAACGATCATTCCAGTGTCAAAATAGATCTTTTTATATATATAGAATTTTCTTCTGACAACTTTTTGGGAAGACACTGTTATCATAACATGAAATTTAGACCATTAGACTAATTTTTCAAGCTCTCGCGGTCGGCAACCAGAAAAATAATTGAAAACGTCTATATCATGGTCAAAAAATCTAAATTGTGGTACGATTCGCTTTTCCCCACTAGATTTGTCTATATATGTTGAATATTTAGTACGAAAACAGTTTTCCTTGGGCGTCAAACTCGAAGTATACATCTCGCTTTTCAAGTTCTATCGATTTGTAGTCGTGCCGAACTAGAAAAGAGGTATAGCACGGTGATAAGTGCGAAATATACTCAAATTTGACATCTCTTCTGAGTTCGGCTATAATGGGTTAGTTTTCAGTATCAAAGTAGGATTGTTGGAGCACCATATTCGAATTTAATTAGTAATTGTCTAAGCTCTCTTGATTGGCAGTCTGAAAGATAAAAACAGGGTACACCTGTGACCTATGTCGAAATTCTAAAAGATTCTCATCAGCTTTTACTGCATGCATGTCCACCTATGCTTTTATGATTTTGAACGTGAAGAGAAACAAGCTAGGGGGTTTGAATTCGTATTATACTGATTTCCTTATGATGTTGTATCAACAGAAAGCCTTACCTGGAGAGAAAGAGTTTCGGAAGATGACATCACCATGTCATATGCCTGAAAAAAAATAAGATGACCTCTTTGTTAAGTTTCTTGATTGGTACATTAAATTTCGTGTTACTCGCGACAGGTACCGTCATTGTTGTTTCTTGTTATCATTGGCATATCTTATAGATGTGAACCTTTTTGAAAATTCACTCTAACTAAGCCAATCATTGAAACACCAGTAGAGTTTTACATATTACTCGAAATTTTCTCTCCGAAACTAGAACTACGTTCTCCATTAATGTATTATATATAAAAGAATAATTGTGTTACAGCCTTAACACGGAACAGAAGAGAAAAATGAAAGAAATTCATTGCACACAGTCAAATATTTTACAAATATGTCGTGGGATGCTTCCGTAACTGCACTAAAAGGAAATATATCTACTTTGAATAGAGCCCTCACGCTAAGCGTAAGCTACTCAGTCTTGTCTGGCAAGGTGGGACCCAATTAAAAGGCTTTTCACAGGATAGAGTACAGATTTCGGAGATCAGAATCTATTCACTACGATAGAATTGTTGTCATTAGTATACTTAGTTTGATTTTAAAAACAGGAGCAGTGATTTGGAGCTGGATTACATTGTTTAGATACGTTTCTTGTACGAAGGGTAATGATATTGTATTTCTCGTTCGGATAACTCCTGTGAACACAAAAAACTAGCATGTGCCCAATATTTTACTTCTCTTTTTTTTATTCAAAAGCTTTAATTTTCTTAATCTGAGAATTCAGTGGAGTATTCGTGACCGTTTCCAATATTAATACATTTGTATTGAACAGGCTCTATATGTTACTTCGATCGATAGCTAATTTTATCATAAAAATGTGATGACGAAGGTTAGGTTTTCTTAGTTATCCGTCCGAATCAAGACATTTCCCTTTAATGTTTAAAAGCTTGATCTTTGAATCTTATATGCATATGATATTGTAAATCGTCTTGCTGCCTCTGATCAAAGTTAAGTGACTTTTCTTGTAAGCTCAGTGAGTGCCAAAATATCGAGCTTACAAAAAGCTACCATGCAGTTTTTTTTTTGTTGATCATTATTATAGGAACTATAGAAGTTTCTTAGCACTTCTGTCTTGCGCTATATCAGCAAAACAACAGTTAGAGCCATTCTTCAACTCTAATGACGCTTCTGAGTTCAGTGCCTTTATTGACAAGATTCATATTTAAATTGTGAAAAACAAATGCAATCTTCACTGCACAGCATCTCATATGACAGTTATAAAATATCCTGCTAGTTCTTAAAAATGTTGACTTTTTTGGACTGAAAGGGAACGTCAAATGTAGTGTACATTTATTAAAATATTTGAAAAAAATAGGTTGTGTGATCGATAGTGTATGTGTGTATCATGATCAAAGCATCAATAAATCAATACACAGCAAAATAGTATGTTAACCGGCATTACATCGAAAATCGCTATCAACTATGATCTAAATAGATGACTGTAATTATAAATTAATCTAATTCAAACTAGATCTGCATCGAAAACTTTTATAGGATCACATTCACTTCTCGTTGATCTTTGTCGATAGTGATAGCTGGACAAACAACTCAGCTTGTCGTAAAAACCTGTGCGTTTAAATGTGTGATAAAAATTTTTTCAGGGTGAGGCAGTGCAGCACGTTAAAGAGTACAAGTCTTTACCCTGCGGGACCTCCACTCTACATATCTATATAAAAACATTGATAGCCAGGTCTTTTTTATTCTGGCGGAAACATTGTAGATTTGTTTTAATTCAAACTATCTTTTCTTACTGAGGTAAGAGGCAAAACCAAACAACGAAGCTGATTTAAATCAATTGAAATAGAAGCACTACTTTCTTTCCACACTTATCTTCAATATTTGCGATCTAATCTTTTGTTCTTCTCCTGTTTATCAAAATTCGGCAAGAGATCAAAATGAATTCACGCAATCCTGAAATTTATTCAGTAGATAAAACACTCTTTCTTTTTCCAAATCGATTATACAACAGTTCAATTTATGCTTTTCTTTCCACATAAGTGCTGTCGATAATGTATTCACCATTCAGTGATATTAAAATTTAGATCGAACTTGGCAATGTTTCTCGATTCCGACTACATTTTTTCTCATTGTCGCTCTCATCTATCTACCACTGGTATCATCAGTTAATCGACTTCGAAAACGTTCTCTGAAAAGACCAGCTTTTCTTTCAGAAAACTCGATTGCAGAAATATTCACGAATGTTTTGAAACGATGCGAAATGTTCCAGTTTTTTTAAAGTTCTCCTTCTCTTGTTCTTCTGTTTTCATCTGCTTTCGGCTACAAATCGATAGAACATGAAAGGCAAGATGTATACTCTGCGTTTGACGTCCACGAAAGACTCTTTTCGAGCTGAACATCAAATACATATAGCCAAATCTAGTGGGAAAAGGCAAATTTTACCAGAATTTAAAATTTTTGACTATGTTGAACACATTTTTCAATTATTTTTTGCAGTTATCAACCGTGAGATTCTGAAAAATTAGTCTAATGGTCTAAATTTCATGTAATGGTAACCGTGGCTTCTCAAAAAGTTATCGGAAGAAAATTCTATGCGTTTAAGAAAGATCAATTTCTGCACCGGAATGACCATTTTTCTTCCGAAATCTGTGTTTTTTTTCGGCGTAACAAACTCAGAACCGTAGAGAACTCGAGATTTTAGGTAAAAATATGTTGCTGGCTAAATTGAAGTGAATAAATATTCTATAAGTACCCCAATAATGAAGAATATACTGTATAGATTTGTTAGGATTATTCCAAAAATAAAAAGATTTTGAGAGCTCTCATTGTGATATTCTTAACCAGCATCTCTCAATCTACTGTTACATCTGATTTTGACTCGTGAAAAAAAAAATTTTTTTTTCACAATACCTGACGGGGACTCCAGGCACAAAAATCATGAATATCGATTTTCGAGGAACAAAGTTGAAAAAAGTGATCAGAGACATTGGTACGTTCTTTAAGTCAGAAAACGCTCACGCTCATGAGCGCTCATATGAGCGTGAGCTGTACAGCGCTAATTATAACAAATAAACAATTTTTTTTGTTATAGAGTTACAAGATTAAGTGAACGATGATAAGGAACAACGTTCGAAAACACATTGTACCAAACAATTTTCATGTGATCAGCAATAAAATTTGCATTGTCTCTCTACGATATAATCGTGAAAATTTTGGTTTACATCCTAAAATCTAGATATGGGTCATAGTCGAAATTTAATGTACTATTATATTTCTGAAATTTACGGTGTCAATGTTCATGATTAGCATGGTA